TTAGCTCTTAAGATAATAGGAACAAATTATTCTTTTTTGCTAGACAAGAACCTACTAATTAATCTGAGCCAACTTTTTCGAAATAAGTAATCCGCGATACACATAAACTGAACGTTTTATATCAATCAAATAAAATTTTACTTTACTTGCTAAATTTAAGATATTTTTAAATCAATACCACATACTCTTATCTGAATTCAGAGTTTTTCGATTGCAATCGAAATAAAGAAAAAAGTTCGTAAAATATTAACTATTTTAAAATTAATAATTTTTTTAAATAACATTTTTCCCAATATTTTTCTGTGTAAATTTAAGTTCTGCATAAGAGAGTGAGATAGAGCGATGAGGAGAGGGACGGAAACTGCTGAGCCATCGAAGCCTTTAAAGTTGGCAAAAAGCCTGCGGATGGAGCCACACATGTGTGCATATATATGTATATGTATATATTTGTGTGGATACGGATGTGGGTGGTAAATGCAGAAGGTTCCAGGGAAAAAGGAAGAGGCGGAGATGGAGTTACCCTGGCATTGTCTGTTGGCAATGAAAATACGACAATAATGACGTCGAGGGAACTTTTCGCCGGAGAGTCATGCGCCGTTCGATAGGCGCCCATTGGACGTGTGTGTTTGTGGACTGCTGCAATGCACCAGATACAGTGGTTAACTATGTACATTTATTTTAAATAATTTTAAACCAGTTTCGATCTCCATTTTATAGAAATATTTATTCGATACCGCAATAGTTAAAAGAAGAATTCGAACTGAACCTTCAAACTATCTTCTCAAAATTCGGAAGCTATTAATATTGGTTTTATTCTAAAACCTAACGGCTTTTGTTTATATAAATTTCTTTATCTTGTTGCAACCACGGCACACACTCTGATGTGCATGTGCATATGTTTATTTAAGTTCCAGTGTGCGTGTCGTTTTGGCAAAGATTTCATTAATAGCTTATGCGGTTGTGAGGGCGGAGGACCAAGTGGAAAACGAGTAAGCAATGCATGCTTGATTTGATATTCAACAAAAGGTGAGTATTTCCCCGGACTCCCTTTTTGAATCACTCCTTTTCCCTAGGTAACTTTTTCCCTCTTCCATTTCTCCAACATTTCTCTTTCTGCCCACACATCGTTATACGCTTTAATTTGCAAATGGTTTTGCAGATTTGGTTGCGGTTTAAAATTTTGTGGGGGAGTCTGGCACAGTGGTCACCCGTTGTGATGAAACTACACAGCGTGTCCGCAACAAAGCTTTCTAAGAACAAAATGATGTCTGATGTGTCTGATGTGTCTGATGTGGCGCTGCTTTTAATGTTTCCTCAATTTGACAGTCCAAAACAATTGGTCGTTAATTGCTGTGGTTCCACCCCCGCCAAGGTCTTTTTAGGTGCCTATACTCAAATACACAAACAGAAAATACAAGTATTAATTTTCATTTAAGAAAAATTTATCAAATTTGATCCATTTTTATATATTAGAAAAATATATTCATATTTCAAGAAAGTAAATATGAAATGTTGGTTTAAAGATCGTTTCAATATGATAGCATTGCCAATTTTAGTCAAATATATTTTTGTAACTTCTCTAATTTTGTTCTGTGAATACTGTAAATTTAATGTATGCATATAGCCATCGAGATCCAAGTCGCACCATTTCATTTCATGCTCCGCCGCCCCCATCTACGTTTGTCTTTTGTTTTTTAATCATCGCCAAGCGAAATGTGAAATCAGACAGAACCTTTTTTTATATACGCTAAACTTTACAGAAAACCAAAAACAATCGGCATCGATATGGATGTAATGGGGTTCCGCGTTAATAAAAATTGTACAGTGCAGAAATTTATGCTTCAGTCTAGACGACAGTTTTTGGAACGTGCTCAATTATCGCAAAGCTGAGCGGGGGCTATGAAAACGGAGGGGAACCGGGAGAAAAACTAACGAGAAAAACAAAAACAGAATTTAAATGAAATTTTCGCAATGCCTCACGACTGCAATTCACTCATATTTACTACAGAACGCCTGCGACCAAAAGATAAGCTATGCACCGATATGGATATCTCTACCTCTTTCTTTCTCCCTTTAAATCTTCCGGTCTCTAACTATCTCACTTTCGTAGTAATAGTCACAACAACAAAAGTCGTGCGAAAGTTGTTAATTTTTGTTTTAGTTTTGTTTTTCACACCATATCACCACACTCGCTTAGGGATCGGCATATTGTCTGACGATTTGAAAACAAATAGTAGGCAATTGTTTTGGTCACGACTAGCAAAATACCTTATGTTAATTGAATAAGTTTAGGTTGTTGTGCAAGAATGTGAAACTGGTCGAAAACACGTACTGAAACTAATCAATATTAATAGATTAAAAGGTTTTCTTATCCTTGATAGTAATCAGGTCAGATCCAAAATAAGGATTGATCGAAGAACTATAAATAGATTGATAAAATCAAACATTTTTATCTGCAAAAATGGATTTAATGAGTAAGTATAATATTTCTTACTTAACCCTTTCTCTCCTTTATATACTCATAATACCCGTTATATTTTAAATTGCAAACTAGTCACACCCTTAAGACCCCCGTTGCGTTCGGTATGTAAATTCCAGACGCTGACTTTGTTGCTACTTTGACTTTATGGTTTTTAGTTGCAAATTGTTGTAGTATTTCTATTCTTGGCGTGCCTTTCGCAATTTATTTTCAGTTGTGCGCGATGTATTGTGAACGTTCGGGAAAGTATTGCGCCATTTCTAGAAGATGGGGTGAAAATTACAAATAATAGGGGAGAGGATATTACGCCTACGTGAGAATTTCGGGCCTACGGATTTGATATAATATTATGCAGACAACGAGAGAGAGAGAGAGAGAGAGAGAGGAGAACAGGAAGAGCTTTCTGCAAACAAGTTGGGAAACTGGAAAAGGCACAAAAACAAACCGACTTCCGCCTCATCCACCCACCGAAAATGAATACATAAAATGTGTCTTAACCTTGACATTGGACGCCAAACACAAAAAAAAAAAAAAGGAAAACACAAATATGCCGGCAGACAAAACAAGTTAAAAGAGCGTAAGAGAGAGAGGGTGAGCCAACACATTCATTCATTAAACAGAGACGGCACATTTAAAGGGAAAGGCGAGAACTTTTTTGCCTTTTTATTTTGCTCACCTTTTAAATCAGCAAAGTTTGTTTATCGTGGCAGCAACAACAACGACAATCAAAAGTACCAAGCAAAAATTAAATAAAATAAAAATGGGCTGCGTGTGGCGCTAAAAATAAACCCCAGTAAATGCAAACAAAACAAGAAATGAAAATTTGAAATAAAAAGTAAAAAACCAAGCGGCGATAAACAATTTTATGGACGTTTACTTTTGAATTAAACGCAAATCATCACAAATAAAAATGCTGATAAGCGAGAATGAAAAAGAATGCAAGAGGAGAGAAATTGAAGGCGTAGAGTGAAAAAGAGATATAAATGCAAAACAAAAACCATCAAAGAATAAAATAAAATAGTAATCGAATATACTCTTACAGTACAAAATATATTAGTAAGTATTTTCATTATCATACTTCTAATTCCTATTTGGATTTATATCAAACTTCTGACAAAATTGATTATACCTTATTTCAGGGTATAAAAACACACAAAAAAATAAGCAAATGTCGTAGCCTTGAAAGTGGGATGAACAGAGAGAAATATAGAGAGCGAAAACCAGAAGAATGAATGGAATTATGCCATAGAAGGCAAAACAAAGTTCTCAGCTAAAAAAGAGAGGGCAATTCAGCAAAAGAAAGATAGAGAGGGGTTGAGATTCTAAAAAACTTGATGATCGCGCGTCCAAAACAACAACAGAAAAAACAAAAAAAAAACAAAAAAAACGATCTAGTTCGTGTTCGTGTTTTTCTGTTTCTTTTGGCTCCTTCGTTACTTTTTTTTATCGCGATGAAATAAATAATATTTTTTTGGCTTTTGGAAACGGAAATATTAAAATTGGGCATTAAATAAATAAAAATCAAGAACACATGTGGTAAAAATACCATACGAAACATGTCTGTTGCTATATGGCAGCATATAAATTTCAATAATTTTTCATTTTTATGATTTATGAATAAAAGAAAATTCGCAGAACGAATGAGGGGCAGGAATTACAGAAAAAAGGCAGAAGCCTTGACCCAAAGCAACAAGCAAAAGATTAAAAAAAAGAGAAGAAGACTTTTGATAAAAGTGAAACACGCGAACGATCGGAAGTAAAGAGAAACATAATGGAACATGGGGAGACATAATGTCTCATCTCAATTTTTCTTCGCAAATAATACAAACCAAAAAACTTCCTTGAGAAGTAAAAGAATTGCAAATTACTCAGATAAATATTTAATATTTCTGCAAATATTGTCGGTATTTTGCAGCTGTTCAGCCATCAAGGTTATATAAGCTATGGAACCGGCAAACGAACGAAAAATGGGCAAACAAACGCGTCAATTGTTGATAACACTGTTCAACACGATAAAGACACTATGAATTTTAACCTGATATCGTATTGGAATTTTTAATTGATAAAACTTAGACCCACACGAATTTTGAGCGAAGAAATAACTTGAATATAATAAGCTCCTTACCCTTATTCGTTCAAAACGATATAAAATTCTATTGTAGCTAAATTTTCAAACAAAAATTAGAAAGAAACATTTAATTTGCAGCTGCGAAACTAATTCCAAGAACGTTTTGCCCCTTGCCTGGCCTTGTTGTTAAGTGTAATTGATAAAATTTTTGTGAATAAATATTGAAATTGCTCATGTGCCCCAGCCGCATGTTGGGGAATTTCGCCACACACATTTCAACATGCCCCTTGGCCCCTTTTTTCAGATTTTAACAAAGAAAATTGAACTCAAAGGCAGTTAATGCCGCATATAAATTTTCTTATTTTGTTTTGCATTTTCTTTAGTTTTCTTATAATTACTGAAATATATTCCAAATATTTTGAGAGCATCTTAGTAATTTATTTTAAGACTTACCGCACTCTCTCCGAATAAAGTTCGACCTCCTTGTTCTTCTGTTGCTGCACAAGTTGCTGCTGCTCGTAGCTGGCCAACGGCTTAAAGTTGCTAATATTGGCCAAAGCAGGCAAGTTCTGTTGCTGCTGTTGCTGTTGTTGCTGTTGTTGCTGTTGTTGCTGCTGGGGAGCAATCAGAAGGTTCTTCGAGAGACCCAATCCATTCTGCAGAAGATTGCTGCCGAAAGCGGGGCCCAAAGGTTGCATGAGCAGCGATTGTTGCTGCTGCTGTTGCAGCAATTGTTGCACTGGAGATACAGATATTTCTCCACTGGACTGCGAGGCCGATGGCGAGGTGGACCCACTGCCAGCTCCACTCGATGACAAACTACCAGCTCTAGCCCTTAAATCCAACCCCAGGACATTATTCGGATTGAGGATGTTGTTTAAAGTGGCCACCACGCTGGGTTGCAGGATATCCGAGGAGCCATTGCTGGCATTACCACTATTGGTATTACCATTGTTGTGGGGCAGACCCGAGCCAATAACACCGACGTTTGGATTGGGCGTTAGTCCGCCATAGCTGTTACCATTGTTGTTGCTTAGCGGGGTCTTGGAATTGCCACCTGCGTTGTTATTATTTCGGTTCCGCTTCTTCTTGGCCTTCTTCTTATCATCGTCCTCGCTGAGGTTTCCATTCAGGTTACCCCGATTACCAGATCCATTGAGGTATATTACGCCCTGAATGGTTGGTGCCACCCAGTCGAGATCCTTTCGCAGTTGTCCTCTGCCACATTTGCAGCTGCAGGCCTTGTGGACCAACTCGTAACCCTTTTTGGTCCACAAATGCTGAAGACGTTGCCTCTCCGACCAGGATCGAGCTCTGCCATTGGCCTTGAGGGTCTGCAAAACGCCCGCCTCCCAAAATTCGAAGCACTCGCGATGCATATATTGACCTGCACTGCAGTTCTCATTGTTGCACAGCACTCGTATGCAGTCCGCCAAGGATAACTCTGTCAGAGGTATCAAAGCATCCAATTTTCGACAATCTCCACTGGGTAGGCAGCAGCGAACCACGCCCCCTCCGACGCCCCCAGATCCTTGCATGGGCGCCATCAAGACGCCTGAAGAATTCGTGTTCTCCGCGTAGAACTGCAGCAATTGCTGCTGCTGCGTTTGGTGTTGCTGCTGCAACTGTTGCTGATGTTGTTGCTGCTGCTGCTGAGTGGTGTTGCCGCTGCTGCTGATGCTACTGTTGCGACGTGGAGCCATAAATTTGTGTTTTTATTCTAAATATGCACTCTTTGCGGCTAAAAAATTGCTTGGCTATCCCCGAAAATCCTCAATCTCTATTTTGGATCAGCATTTTTCGCAATATTAAAATTGAAAATATTGCTTGTTGATTTTTTTTGGGAACTTATGTTGTGATTTGTGGTCTATAAATGCCAAGAATGTATATTTATCGAATGTTTCCAGTGTTTTATTTTTGGAGGTTTATTTTTGAACCGATTTTAAAATATTTTTGAACTGATTTTGGTGAATTTCCAGTGATTTCGCGATTTTATTATTGTTTTGAAAACGAAACGAATTACAATTTTGTTAGTTATATTTTGGGGATTTGCTGTTTACTTTTGTTATGTTTTTGTAGATAATTTTGTATGAATTTAACTGATGTTTTTATTTTCGGAGATTTTCAGACAAAAGTCTTTCTTATTTTTGAGTCTATTTCTGGTAATTTTTTTCCGGTTTTTGTTTATTTTATTTGATAAAATTTATTTTTAGTTTGTATAATAAATGCCTTTTTTGTGTGATTTAAGTCAGAGAAATTTTAATTTTTGGGCTACTGTTAAGTTTTTTTAATTGCTTGATTTTTCGAGCGGATTTATATTTTTAACTTTGTAATTGCTTGTATTTTGTATTGCTTTTTAATTTTAGTGTTTTGTTATAAAACCGTACACCTCTTTCCGTGTGTATCAAAAATATTACGAAAAAAATTCCCGTTTATGCAGTCTGTTTTTTCTTAATTTTGTGTTGTACCTGAGCTGAGTTTATTGTTGTTGTAGAACGTTCAGTATCAAAAATTGTGTCTATTGTTTATCTTCGCTCTGTCTCTGTCTTTCTTTCACACACGCGGCGCCATGTTCGGCAATTTTTCACATTTTGCGTTGCTTTGCGGTTTGTTTTTATCGCCTCTCCTTTGCCGCTTTTTATTTTTGCCGGCTAAATGAAAGGGAAAAGAAGGAAAAACGCGAGACTTTGATGTAATAATTTCGATTGGAGATCGAACGGTCACTCCTAAATACAATATATCACTCCAAATCTTGTGTTAACGATTCCTCTCCAGTCCTCACGCACTATGCTAGTTTTAGTTTTAAGTTGTTTAGTTTTTTCCAATTCTTGCTCTGTTAACACAACCAAACCAGTTCGAAAGCGAAATACGAACTGTTTTTGTGTTCGTCTGCGAACAGCGTTCGAACGTCGGGCGTCTACGCGACGTCAATGTTGGCGTCTGCGCTGACGTCGGCGTCGCTGCCGCCTGTTGAAAACGTCGAACTAACAGAGAAATGTTAGCAAAACGCCGGATTAACAGAGAAATGTTTAAAAAAAAAACTGCGACAGCGTTGCGTCGCCACCGCTGCCGGCGTCGCTGCTTGGCATTGGCAGCGAAGTTGGATTTTTCTTTCCTTCGCTTTTCCACTTCGTTGTTGCTTTTTTTGGGGGTTGGTGGGTGGTGGTTGGCTGGTTTTCACTTTCCACCACCGCCGCCAACCGCTCGCTTTTCATTCGGCGGAAAATTCAACAGATTTTGGCGCTAAAAAGAGTAATGGTGGGGGAAAAAGGGGGATGGAAAATTAAGGCTGCGATTATTTCAGAACACCAGAAATTAAATGAAGTCTTTTTTTAAATAACTGTTAAATTTCATCTCTGTTAAAAGAGTTGTGTACATTAGAGATAGCTGTAGTTCATTTCATTACTTTTTTTTTTTAGTTGCTTAGATTAAATAAAACAATTTTAATTTGAATGTGTTTGTGCTTTACTTTCCAAAACATTTAAACATTTAGTTTGCGAAATAGTTTGATACTTCTCAGCAATTCGCAAAAATTCACTTTCGTTGCGGTTTGAAGCTGGTTCGAAGCGCGTCTGAAATCCATCGTTTCCCCTCCAACATGTTCGACTGCACTTCCACTTGGAACGTTGAACAAGTTCGCTCTGTCCATGCATAAATGAGTGCATTGGTGTTTGTGCAAAAAACCGGCAAAGTAAACAAAATGAAAACAGGGTTGCCGAGTCTCGAGATTTCGGAGCGCACTTTTGCTTTCCTTAGCTAATCTCTTAATTCCACTGGAAACGGAATAACCGTTTGCTGTCTCTCTTTGGCGGAACTATCCCTCTCGGTCGCACTCTTCGATTGCAATTTTATATTTGTATATAATCCCCTATCTGAAGGCAAACACATACTCACAAAATTACAAATACAATGCAATGCGAGTGCCGGTAATAAAGGCGGCATTAAAAAAATACACAACACAACAGCAGAGACAAAAACGAAAGAGAATGCAAAAAATGGGCAAAATGGAAGTTAAGATACCCTGTGTTTCCGAGTGTTGGGAATTGGCAAAACTTGACCGATAGATCAAAATAATATATATAAAAATATATATTTTTTTTTTTAAATTTACTAAGAAGGTTACAATAATTAAACCAAAATATTATGCTAAAGCTTTTCTTTTTTGTTACAACTAACTACTACAACGTTGCAGGGTATTATTTGCACAATCAAAACCGAATGAAACCTTTATGCGTATAACCTTTTTTATTGTATCCTCGCCAGCTTTTATATATTGTTCCCTCCTGCTCTTCTCCTTTTGCCGGATCCCTCCCTCTCTTTCCCTCATTTTCCTGACTCCTTTTTTATATAAAATTCCCGCTGCGCGTGTTGCAAAAAAAAAGTATGCGAAAACGAATAAAAAGAAGCGGTAGAAACGGCAAAACAAGGGCACGTGTGGAATGAAAAGTGGAAAAGGGGGAGGGAAACGGGATTTCGGAACTGGATAAGGATTTCTTATAGGACTCGCAGGATCCTGTGTTCTATTCTTTCAGATCTGTGGTGCAAAGTCAATGTCCAATTCCACTTATTTTTCGGGTGAAACTGCGCAGTTTCCATTTTTTTTTCTGTTGACCTGCAAGGAAGAAAAGAAAAGGAAAAAAAGGGAAGAGAAGAGGGCTCTGATATAATAATTAAGTCAGTCAGGTAGGCAGATCGGCAGCCATTGCGTAATAACATCGCATATGGGTTGTTTGTTGTTCTAGCTAAAAGGATCGAAGGAACTCGAAAAGAAAAAGAAAAACACAGCAGAGAACAAAAGAGAGCTGAACTAGTTTGTTGTTGTTGTCATCGTCGATTTATAATTCTCAAGGATTTCGCTTTGTGTTCCATTCGACTCTGACCTAATTTTAATGACCAATGCATAACGAAAAAAAAAATAATAAGAAAAAGAAGAAGAAGAGGAATAAGACCTGATGGCATGTGTTTAAAAAAAGGAAGAAAGGGTAGAGAAGAGCGGAGGAAGAGAATGGGAGAGAGCCTGGAAGCCTTGGGCCAGAGCTGAGCTCATAATTCTTCGGCGACACGCATCAAGTTAAATTTGCATAATTAATGGCAACGATGGGATCTCTCAGGGCAGTATAGGGTTGCCAGGTTTCTATAAGATGGGGAATCGAAATTCGGTCACAAAATACACATGGAGTAACGGGCAATTTTCCGTAGGAAATGATTTTGTTCCGTACAATATTGGAGCACATCCTGTAAGAAATCGTGGGAATATTTCTCAAAGTGGTCTTTGTCATTGAAATTTTATACATTTTTTTGCGGCTATCAATCTAAGAACTGAATTTCTTTAGATACCTCTGATTTAATCCTATTCTTCTTAACACATTGCCAGTTATTAAAGAAACCCGTAACTGAAAAGGTTTTTTTTTTTTTTAACTTTTAATTTTGTATATGTTCAAGTGATGACTTTGCGTGTGTTAGCCAACTTTCTGCGTGTTTCTCGGCTTCCTGTTTGAGTTTTAGCCAGGGTGTGAAAGCGTGTTCCTCGAAGAAACTTTGCGGTGGCGTAGAGTATCTACAATATACTTGTTCGAACGGATAGACAATCCCTTACCTCCGCCCACGACTCAGCTATCCATTTATTCCGGCCTCTTCTTGTGTTTTTCGTTTTCCTTCGCTTTTTAAGTCCTGGGGGTGTTTCGGGCAGATGTGTTCGACACCCACCCGAACTCCTATTCCGCCATCTATAAAACCCCCTTTACCCCTCCGCTTCGCCGACAGAGCAGCATTATTTGTAATTACTCATACTCCCGCATTTATCCAATCGGAAGCAACTTTGAAACCCAAAATAGGGTTTGAAATTCAACTGCCTAGCAACCCAACTCAACCTCAAACCGGAGAAAAGTCGTACATAACGGTAAACATAATACATACCAAATATATAGACATAAAAAGTGACAAACCGGGAGAGAGAGTTGTGTTTTTGCGACGATGGAGGGTGTCGTAATTTCGTTTCGTTGCCAAAAATAACTCAAACTCCATTTTGCCAAACACTTGTCGGAGGATGATGATAATGGTGGAGAAGAAGTAGAATGGTCCAGGATTCTGGTTGAAACCCTTTTTCGCCCCTTGTGGCTCCCAATATGGGTCTGATTCACGCTGCTCTGCTTACATAAGCGAAATGAAGTCAGCATTCGCCCTATAGACATACATATTCCCACTTAACAGACGGGTTATGGCACACTCGAATCGAATCAACCAAGAGCACTACATATTTACTCCAAAAACTTAAATAGGAATGATTTCTTTAATGATGTAAATTAACGAATAAATGATTTTTGTGATCGCCCTGGAGTAAGAAATTCATAGCGAAATCCAATCAACACTTAACGCTAACACCTTTTTGAAAGTATGTATATAGTTTGAGTATGTGTATAATTTTGAGTAATTTTTAGTTTAAATTTAAAATTATAGCGCCATTCCTTGTTAAAAAAATATAGAAATAGTAAAATTTGCTTCCTACTCAAGTCAACAGCAAAACAAGCTAAAAAAAATTACCAAGAGAAAATTTCGTTCCACGTATGTATGTATTTATTAAGAACACATAATTCCAATTTATTTTTTATAGTATGTAGTTAAAAACTTGGATTGATTTAGTTTTTTTTTTTCTAACTTGTGTCGCTTGTTGATATATTTAACTCTTACAACTCTTTCGTAAATATGTATTTTGTATATTTGGTTTTTTTTTCAAACGGAATTTCCCTTTGTTTTTAAAAAAAAAACTTTTAGGGGAGTTAGGGGGTTGCTCAATTCCCTGCCACTATGTCCTGTATCCTCCTTTAGTGCGGACCTTTCTCTGTGGCGCCAAGTGAAAGTGAGTGAGACGGCACATCCATGCTGAATTTTCATTTGTCCTTTGTGGCAGCAACCACAAGGATAAAGGATAATGGTAGGGGGTGGTGAGAAGAGGAGAGAAAACAAGAGGAGTAAAGAGGCGGATGACGAGGCGCACGCACTTTTTAGCTCAGCAATTTCGGGGGTATTTTTTCACGCTAATACCAACACATTCAAAAAAATACTTAGATACATAAACAAGTAATAACATACAGGGTGTGTGGAGTTTTTCATCAATTTTAGCTCTACATTCCCAGGAAGTGCGAGAAACTCCGCCCACTCATGGCCAAACAAATATTTTTC